CAACGAACATAATTTCAGTTGAGCAAAATAAATTTTTTAAAATAAAATTTTAAAATATTTGCAATTTTATTGCAAAATTTGTCTTTTTAGAAGTTTGTCGATACGACAGTGATACTTATTAATACTTACTTCTCGTTTTTCATTACTTAATTTTAAATTCACAATTTTTAACAAAAATGTTATCGTTTACGTAGAAGTACTAGTGCTTGCATGATTTCCGAATTTCTAATATAGTCTATAGAAAATTTTAGGTGTTTTTGAATGAAAATAAATTATGAAATATTCCAGATTATGACGGTGTCTTTTCTGACGAAATCTACAAGTTTTTTTTTCAGTTTAGGATAAAAAACAAAAAGAACTGACAATTTATTGACATAGATTTTATTCAATTGAATTGAAAGTATGGTATACATTTGAAATAAGAAAATTTCTGGAACCATCAAAGAATTATTACCGGCCAGCGGTGTTCTTTAATGATACCTGGTAAATGTCTGAACAGAAAAGAACGACTTAACACTGCAAACAACAGTGAAAAGGAGAGTACACAACAACTAAAAATCCTGAAACGGCCAGATGTAACATCACGCAGGCGCACAAAAATAAAGTTTACATTGCTTCCAGTTATCTGAAATTTTATTAATAAAATACTGTAGTTGCTCAGTTATGATTATTTTAAATACCTGTTCTCGAACATGCAGTTGATGTATTTATAATATATTGACCATTAATATGGATGCCATCGACCGGCGATTACATCAGATGCAGAGTTAGGTAAGTGGATTGTGCTGTGCGCATGCGTGCAAATCACTCTGCCGTATGATTTATGATACAGAAAAATATTTTAAAAGTTAAAAAGGTGAATTTGATTTTATAGTAATATCAAGTACTCTGCAGAGATTTGGTTGTGAGTAAAAATTCGACTGCTATTTGTGTAATATGAAAAATGGTTGTGCAAATAACCATCGACCAGCGACGGATATAGAAATGAATTCATAAGACTTTCAGGTATTTTCTAGATTACTAAATCGACCAGTATTTCAAATTTATATTTGTGAGAAATACACTCTCACTCTAAACACTAAAGATTATCAGTTCCATGTTTATATGAATATTCAAATATCACTGTCCAGCAGTGATTAGTGTATGAAAAGACCGTGACAACTATAATACAAAAAGTGTTAGTAAAGCGAGGAACGGGTTTAGTGATTGGCGCAGGTGAGCTTCAAAAAACAAATTCTGCCATGTATTTACTATGGAGGCATGAAATTTTGTTTGCAACGTAGTTATCATTTTATAATTCAGATCTGATGCTTAGGAAATGGTCATTATGGTAGGATATAATGAGGTGTAGGTATGCCAGAGTATGTATATTTTCTCACAGAAGAAATTCTCTATTTTCTACATGTAATTAGATTGATTCCGTCACAATTGCTGTTTATATATATATATATATATATATATATATATATATATATATATATATATATATTGCATGTGGGCGTATATATGTGAGAAACGCGTAATAAATACACGCTATTAATTTAGAATTAATATTTGGAACAGACAGTTGTCGTATCATACATAGTATTCAATTAGTACCTTTGAATCTCAAAATTTCATAAAAGTTTTAACAAAAAATCGGTTTTCTTCAGATAGAAATCCTTCAAACATGAATAAAAAATATTCCACGGAGTTAATTCTTCAGACGTATTTTCTTTGTTGCAAATATTTGAAGTGTCAAATATTTACTGTTTTCCTTGCAGATATATGTCAAAATCTGGTCGCAATAGACGAAACAGTGAGAGAATCATTGAATTCGTTGACAGTGGAAGACTTCATATGGATAACTAGAGTAATCTAGTCCATTTTATTAAAAATGTTTCAAACGACGCGACCTGCTATGCACATAAATTTAGGTGAGTAGAAATTAAGTAATACTGGCAACATTTTTTTTTACAAAGAAACATCTTTTTTTAGTTATAAAATTCAATTGCAATTTGCTTTCACTCAGTGAGTGATGAATTGGAATTTGAAATTGGCACTCAGATGTCTCTTTGCATCAAAACTTGGCTGTCTGGATTTAATTAACGCATTTGCTGGTCTGTAACACACATTAATAAAATTAAATACCTTAATATAAATATTACAAATAGTAATAGTCCAATTAAAAACTCGAACTATGCCGTTAAATAAAATATATGTCTGTTTAATACAAACGAATACTGTATTGAACGGCAAAACCCCGGTAACTAAAAATATAAAAAATAGTCAGTAATTCATAACAATTCACATTTATGGTTTGCAAAATTTCTATTTATAAAGATGAGGCATTGCTTCAGGAATCGAGGACGGAAAGCCATTGTTCCGAAAATACAAATTTTATTGTTATTTACTACACATATATAGTTATATATTTTAAGGAAGATCCGAAGTATAATTTTGTTGCATATCAAGAATGAAAAAAAATTAGATAACATAAAAATATATATATATAAATAATTCTTCAATAATTTTGTTAATACTGAAAATTTTCAAATAATTTGCAGAAAAAAAACAAACACAGACACCAGTGTCTGAAATAAATGAATGTGAGCTTCTTTCAACAGGCTGGAAGATCCAGCTGTGGCCACTGGCGACACCAAAATATACAGGATTTGGCTGCCTGACAGACTTCTTCCAGTTTAGTATGTTTTAAGAGGCAGATTTTCCAGGGACTGCCAGCAGTTCCCTAAATAGATTATTCTTACATACAAATAAAGTTTTCCATTCTCATTCATATAGGCCTTTTTAACTCTTAAATAAAAAATTAACAACACTAGAAAATTTTAAAAAGAGTCTGAAAAAATATAGCAACATTTTCCTAATTCTCTTCTCAAAAGAAATTTATAAAAACAACTAAATGACCACGTGATAACTGCATTTTCTATTAATTGACTATTGATTTTAAAAGAAAAAAATCTGTACTTGAAGCTTCAATTTTCTTTTTCATATTGGAACATTTTTAAACAATTTAGAGCTTTGAAATAACAGATTCAACTGCAAAGTCAAAATTAACAAGAAAAACGGTTGCAGATTTGTTTATATTTACAGAATTATTAGGGAAATGGAAACAGGGAAATCTAATCAAGTTTCTGTTTGAATTTTGGAAAAGTTTTTGACAGTTCAAGAAAGCAATACTAAAAATGACAAAAGGAGAATTTTGGTAACTTGATTTTTCAGATAGCAGCTAGTTTTAGATTTTGCGTATATAAACATTCCTAAACCAAAAATCTAATTAATTGTTGGGATCCTAAGATGCTGCCTCGCAAATTATTAGATAATTAATGTTAAATATACTCAATCTTTATTAAAAAAAGGAAAATTAAAATAGTTGACGTTAAATCGTGACATCGTTCGTAGTAATTTCTTTAAGATTAATAGACTAGATATTTTTTGAAGTCATTGTGTCTTTATTTTTATTTTTGCTTCCATAAGAAAAAATAAAAGTAAGAATTTTTTATTGAATTTATAAATGAAATATAAAAATGCAAAACTTTTTAGATTAAGACTACTCTAAAAATGTTTGTTTCCCAAGGCTATCTTACAAAGGAATGGGAGATAATATGTTGCATAAACGAAACGAAATAAAATAAAAATAAAGAAAATAAATAATATTTTTTTCAGAGACATAATTCCAGTTATTTATGATCCAAATGAAAACTAAACATAGCTATAATTCCTAACGTTTGCATTTCTCATTTATGCTTGACGTTAGAAAACGGAATAAAATTTTAAGAAAAAGCAAACAACTTTGGAACGTAGCCATACGCATATACACATTATATAAAGTATCAATAAATTAGTATATTTGTAGATCGGTTATTTATTGGAATGTTTGTAGATAAATAAAATTTCCAGATGATTAGCTGTCTTGGGAGAAGCACGACACAGACACGCCTTATACTATTGGTAAATTCTACGAAATGAATAAATTATTTTCATTTGAAGAAATTAATACTGTTAAAATAGAGACAGTTACTGCGTGCAATGAATTATCTCTTGAACATTTAAATAAAAGGGAAAATGCAATAAGACAAACTTATAAAGTGACCTCAACAAATCCTTTTGTTTAAAGTGTAATTCTTTGGGAAAACATATAACAATCAATCAAATTAAAAAACGTCAAAATCAATCTCATGTAAATTTTATGAAGTACCAATGAAATTCAAGTTTTGTTTTTAATTTACATTCAACTTATCCTATAATTCATATTCCTTAACACAGTTAACGTTGCGACTGGAAATTCTACCAGTTAATAATTTACACTTAGACAAATTGAGCTTGCAATCGATAGCATTTTTGGATCGCAAATATTAAGAAATTTATAGTTGAATATGCTTGCGTTTGGTGATTTGCTATTATGCACGCGTGAGCACAGGTGGGTATGCATTTATTCATGCTTGTATATGTAGATTATAGAGGGAAATGAGATCAAATGGCTGTAACTATATTCCTAAAAGTAATTAATGAATAGTTATGTTTTTATGAGGTGTTAATTTGATGATGCTCAAATATGTTACATGGTAAAAGAAAGGCAGAAAGGAGAAGAAAAAGCACCAACAAATGATAAACTATTTGGGCGTAATCCTAGAGAATGGCCGCCTGCAGCCTTATCACTGGTCCCTTGATTTGCCCAATTCAGATGCAAACACTGATTTGTTATTTACATCTTTGTTTTGCTATTTTATTCGTTGTTTTCACTGATGCTGACACCCCGCCGTTGAGAGCATGCCTGCTGCTGTCATAAACAACGGGCGATGACGAATTCTTTGAGGATGCTGCTAGTAAAGGCCGGCAGACCGAACGCACACGGCTCAACGCATGCAGTCTCGCCCGGCTTTAAGATCTGGATCAAGGATATCCAGCTTTGTTTTCTTGTGTGCATGTGTGCGTATGTGTGTGTAATGACAATATGCCATACATTTTGTGTGTACGTAAGTCTAAAACTTACACGTGTAGGCCTACCGGAGGTCGTCAAAATTATCTCGAGTGGCACCTGGAAAAGCAGAAATTAAATCTTATAAATCATAGATAAAATATAACAGAAAACAAAATAAAAATGCATATAATTTTGAAAAGTAATTTAAAATGCAACATTAACTGCTAAATCAACAAAATTAATGCTGAATAAAAATAACTCGGTAAACGGTAATATTATTTAGAGACAACAGAGTTTAAACAATAAAGAAAAAAGGAAGAAATAAAGAAAACGCCATTGATTACAAGCATCCACATTCATTCCGATAACGTTTTTTTATAATGACAAATTCAACAAACCACTCCTATCAATACAAAGCCGCGCCCATTTATGATAAAGGAAGCAACGATTCAACCTCTTCTAATTGGATATCAGACTCTTATTTTTGCTACACGAAAATCGTTAATACAAAAATAAAATTAAGGAATTTGAGAACAGCTTGCTACTATAAGAGATGCCAATCGAATGTTCTCTGTACAGGATAGCAGGAGGTTCTCAGGGTCATCAGGACCATCCAATTGATAATATTTCTTATTTATAATCAGACAAAAAAATTTTCTTTTGTATATTCGTAGAAATTAGCAACTTTTCAATAGGCTTTCGGGAACAAGTAATTTCGAAATTTTGGTGGGAAAAGTGAAATCGGCGAACAAGTTCAATTTTTGGTTTAATCAGTTGCATTTACTTTACAAGAGATGAAGTCATGTCTTTTTCAAAGTGCTCTTGCGAAAGGTATGAATTCATCTTTTCTCTCCGCAAGCTAGACTAAAAAATTTAATTTAAGAAAGAACCGTGATAAAAAATTGCACAAAAAGAAATTGGGAAACTACTCCATTACCTTTTCCAAGAAGTCTTAATCATTCACATATATTAAGGAAGCTGTAGAGAAGCATGATCTTTTATGTACTGCGATATGTCATATTTAAACAAAAATAATTCCCTTTAATTATGCCTAATTATATATATTTGTAATATATAGATATAACAATTTATATAAAATATAAATTATTTCAAACTACTTCTTGATAAATATATATTAAATAAATATATATTAAATATATATTAAAAATATTTCATGCAAAAATTTTAATATTTTTATAATTAATTTAATTTATAACTAGAATATGCATATGGCGCTTTGTAAATATTAACTAAATGCCTCCTGAAAAATGCTGCTTTATTAAAAATACTTTATGAATATATGAATTCAGAATGAAAATAAATGATAATATATATATATATATATATATATATATATATATATATATATATATGTGTGTGTGTGTGTGTGTGTGTGTGTGTGTATATATATAACACCATAAAATTATAATATATATATATATATATATATATATATATATAATATGTAAAACCTCAGAAAATTATTTTTCTACTGTACTTTATTAGTTATATTGTGGAAAATACCTAATTCGTACGTTTATCCAATTTAGCTTTTTAGTATACGATTTGCTGATAACCATTTATTTGTTTGTCTCAATATAAAAAAAGATTAATCAAAGAATTAAGAACTGTAGTTAGATCAAAATTTAACAAATTACTTAAATCAGTTTCTTATATCTTATAAAATACTTTCTAAGAAGGTATTTGCATGTTTTCTTCGAAGTGAATAGCACTTTAATAAGTTAACAACAACAATATCAATATCACTTATAATAAAAGAGTTTTCTGAAACGAATCGATTGGACTTTAGGAAAACCTTGCTCTATCAGTTTGTCATTTGTTCTGTTTTATTTCAAAGTAGTTGAATATATTCATTTAATAACAAAGTAATCTTTGAATAATAATATTACTTTTATATAAACATAGAAGTATGCTACAAGAACGAATTCCCATTATCATAAAGATTCACACAAGACAGAAATATACTTTACAAGAATTTTTGCGTGTATATTTTGCGAACAAATTATTTCAGGTAAGATAGAACGTAGTTGAGGGAAATTTGGAAGCTGTAAATAATCGTTTATTTCAAATAAACATCATTTGTCAAAGATGAGTTCAGGGTAAAGAAATGACTTTCTTTAACATGATGATTAGTTATATGAAAATAACAAATAAAATCCAACATCCAATTAAGGAAGAATCATTCTTTTTTCTGGCTTGGCTTTATTTCCGTTTATATTCATTTTCCTCTTTTCATTTTGCAACTTTTGGCAACTATCTTTAATAATAAGTAAGTAAGTAAGTAAGTAAATAAATAATAATAATAATAATAATAATAATGTTAATAATAAAGATGCTGCTGTTGCTGTTGCTGATGATGATGATGATCATCATCATTATCTTGTGGGCGATGAATTCGACTCTTTCTACTACACAAAAGGAATTCTGGCCGGAGGTAATGAAACTCTATGTGGGATCAAAGTGTTTCATCCTCATCCAAGACCGAGGGGTAGTCATGACTTAGTGTTTCTGTCATCAGGGCATCAGATGCACATAGTGAGATTAAAAACTAGGGAAAATTGGAAACCAGGGAGAGATAAATGGAGAAGAAGGAAGGAAAATATTAAGTAAGTAAGAATAGAAAAAAATAAGTAAGATGATGAGCAGACAGACGGGTAAATAGAAAAGTGTTTAGAAAATATTGTTATCAAATAAGTGTTTCTTTGATTTTTAAATAATTTTTTTCCTTTATTTAACTCGCTGATTAGAATAATTTTCTTTCTTTTTTCTTGTATGACTTATTTTCTCTTCAACGCCTCTTTATCATTAAAACTATGAAGCATAAATATCTACTACAAATAATGACAGCAATATTTCAGTATAGAGAAAGATATAGCTAATCTGCCCGGTACAATTAAAGTTACCACTTTAATTGTCCCGGATAGATTAGCTATATCCGCGATTAACTGGTTTGAGAGGAAGAAGGAAAATGTAATTACTATTGAAAACACATGGAAAAATCGAATTATTTATCAAGAAAAATTTGACTGATAGAAAAAAACAATAGATTTTCGCAGCGATTTCTTAATAATCAATGTCCAATAATTGCGTAAAATATTTATCTCACTTTAAAAATTACGGTATTAATCATAGGTTTATAAAAATCCGGTGTTAATTAAAGGTTTCTATCCATAAGCGATTAATGCTTACTGTCCCCAAATGAAACCGCTTTGAACAATAAAAATTATGGGAAATTTCAGTACTTCCTCATTCCTACAAAGCACAATAAGCGTAAGGATTCTGGAAAAATTTAAATAAACAATTAATTAGATCTTCCTTGTCTGTCGTATTTATTGAAATATCTTTAAAAAGAAAAGGTTGAGGCCAAATATATATATATATATATATATATATATATATATATATATATATATATATATATATATATGTGTGTGTGTGTGTGTGTGTGTGTGTAGTGTTGTGGCCTTGTTGGGGTCAGAATAAAGACACAAGAGTGGGTTTGAGTTAATAAATATATTAACGAAAATCAGTAATACAATATAAACGAGCAAGAATGTTAAGTCCAAATTGTCAGAGCTGACTGTTGGGAAAAACTCTCTGACAAAAGGTGTACCTGCTTGTATTTGTAACTTGAAAATCCATCTGTGCATGGGTAATTTACCATAACTCTCTCTCTCTCTCTCTCTCTCTCTCTATATATATATATATATATATATATATATATATAGAAATCACGATGGGCATCAACGGGTTAATATATTAATAATATATTCCACAATCACAGGACGTTCATTTCAAATTTTAGACCGTTAACATTAACATTAACCGTTAGCGTAAACACTTCACTGGAAACCTCTCGACTTCTATCTTATCTCCTTAAAAATAATCAACAATAATCGAATGTACTCGGAACATTACACACAATTTCGGTAAATTCTTTTACAGATTTCTAGCCGTCATTAGACGATTTATTCACCAACAGGAGAGTCTCACCAAAAGGTTTAACGTTCACATCTCGTTCTGTTCAATAAAATATGTTTAAATAGAAAATTACTACCTAAATCTACTATATATATATATATATATATATATATATATATATATAAAAGAATTTTTAATATATTTATATGTAATATATAGAGAATGCAGAGAAAAGTAAATTAATATCATTTAATTTTCCTTAATTAGTTTTAATTTAATGTAATTAAACAAGTAGCCATTTTCTATATTTTCAGTAGTATCTGTATGAAATGCCTTCGCTGCCATATCCACTTTACTCACTGCTGTTTTTGAAATTGCCATTACATGCGGGCACCTCCACACTACAGGCGATGTGCAGATTTAATTATTATACGGGCCATTTCTCAGTTTTGCCTGACTCTTTCCTGTTAACCGGATGTGTCTGCTAGCAGCTAGGTGATCTTATATCGCGCCCTCATGTACACTCTATTTCCTTCCCAAATCTTTGAGAAAAATAAGCAAAGAAATCCCATAAAATAAAATAAAATATATCTGCTTTTCTATTGTCTCAGTTCTCTCAATAGTCTGACTTGTACTGATAAATATCTGCATTTTGAAACCCTCTTACGAGTGTGGGTGTATTCGTTTGCCACCGAACGTCCTGGCATCACATCTGTTTATTCCTATTATTATTATTATTATTATTATTATTACTATTATTAAATTCTTTGGAACGTATTTTTCAAACGCGTGTTTGTCATCGCGTGGTGTGAAAATCCTTTAATTTCTAGAAATATCTAAGGAAAGAGTGTGGTTATTCTGTATAAGTGAGAATTATTGATAATAAAAGATTATATGAGAAAAAGTTAAGTCTTTTCTATGTCTTTGAGACTTCGTCATATGGTTTTTATTCGATAAAAAATGATAAAAACGATTAACAAATAATAAACACAAACGATAAACACAAATTGGACATATGCTCATTGATGAATATATAAGCACGTATTTGAATATATACATATATAGATTTCGGTGCTAATCTAGTGAGATTAGCACCGAAATCTATATATGTATATATTTAAATACGTACCTATTAGCTGTGTTAGTGAATTCGATTCTTACAAGGTGACTAATTTTTTTTAGTCTTGTGCCAGATTAGTTTTAACTTAATAAATATCTTGATATCTCTATATATACGATGGGAGGTGTTGAATGATTCTTGGTTCGATAGAGAAGTGGTCTCTATTAAATGTAACGCTTGTCCAATTTACCAGAATTTTGTAAGCGGGTCGAGCTAAGAAATTTTCAGTTCTCTCTCTTTCTATCTATCTATCTATCTATCTATCTATCTATCTATCTATCTATCTATCTATCTAATCATTAGGCTTTCAATTATGCATAATTATGTGACAGATTAAATTTTTCCACCTTGTGTTCTTTTTACATGTTAAGTTATTCTTATTTAGCAAATTTTCGGATTATTCAATGCTTTCCAACATCATTTAGTTTATAAGTATCCTCCAATTATTTATTTAACAATTATTTATTAACAAATATGTAAAATTATTTTAAGGCTGTAGCCTTAAAATAATTTTACATATTTGTTAATCTATAAATAATAATAATAATAATAATAATAGTAATAAAAAATAGTAATAATAATAGTAATAAAAAACCTTTTTACCGTTTCCATTTTATTAATGTTATTCGGGTTTATGGTATAAATGAACATAAAATCTATCTATTATTTGTATATATATCACTTTCAACATATGACTTTATTGTTGTGATGCTAAAGAAATTTCAAACTGACATCTCTTTGGTAAAGGTTTAGCTTAAGTTAGAAGGCACAATGTTTCAGATATTTTTTATATAAGAAAGTGAATATCATTTATATTGACTCGTACCAAATAATTTCAAAGTATAAAGTGAACATTTTCAGTTGTTCATAACAAGAGTATAAATTAAACAAAAATGAATACTTTGAATATTTACCATTACTTTGTTGCCAAGGTTTTATGATCTGTTCTAACCATTCCTCAATATCAGAAGAAATTTCAGCTGGGCTATTTTCTTGCCAGTTTGGAGATTCCATCATATCATGGGAAAAATTTTCACTGTCAGCCTTGTCAATGTTTACGTCTGTAGAATTACCACTCTTAGACTCTTCATCATTCATGCTTTCTGGGCTGTTCATATAAGACGGAAGAATTGTTGGATCATTTTTGCTGGCATGGTTTATGTCAGTGGCAAAGACAGGGGAATTGGCTGAACTAACTGGAGTATTTGAATGTCGGCATGGCAGAGAACATTCTCTTTTGATAACTTCTCTTTTGTTTGCTAGCATAAATACTGTCGTTGTTTCTGCAGTATTGAGTGGGGGAGAGGGAGATGCTAAAGATGCTGGCGATGTTGATACGGAAGTAGTAACCGAAGTATTTGTTGTCGAAGTTTGACGACACGCTGATAGAACATTGGTCAGTTCGGTTTTAACCTGTAATGGTAAACTTTTTTCTGTGTTAAATTCAGAAGACAACAGTGCCAATTCAGATAAACGTTGATCGAAAGAAGACTGAGAAAACGTTGTACTAGACCGAGAGAGACTAGCGGAAAGAATATTTTCCAGTTCTTCTACGGTTAGATCCGGAAGTTTACGCTTCAGGGAAGGTAGCTTGATTTTGGACAGTTGTTTTCGTTTCGTAGCTATTTCATCAAAGAAAGACTCTACGGTAGTTGGGTCAATGACCGGAAGTTCTCCCATGCGACGTTGTTGGAAGGGATTTTGGATAACACTGATGTGGTTAGCAGTGCTACTTTCTTTAATGTGAGTATGATGGCTTAAGTTTCTGCCGCTACCGGTTGAATGAGGGTGGTCTAATTGATTGGTATGTTGATGGTGTAGCTGAAAGAGGTATCGTTGCGGGTGATGAGAAGATTGACTGCTCTGTTTTCTATGGTTTGATTGGTGGTGCTGATGTTGGACGCAAGCTTCACTATCTTTGGCAGTGCAATTTATTTCATCACCACTACTAATCGACATTTTGCGCTTTTGTTTTGGCTGTAGTGTTATGTCTTCTCTATCCAACACCCCTCCTGAGTCTGTATCAGCTACAATAGCAGTTGTTCCTGCTACTGACAACGAGGCCGAGATGTTCAGGAAATTTTGAAACACTAAATCGGGTGACGATGATGGCGACGGTTCCGGTGTAAGGATTCCTTCCGGAAGTACTGATACTTGCGGTTTTATGTCCACTTCAGTGGGTGAATGCCAAAGGTAATAAGACAATGTTTTCATATCTAACTGTTTCAGCTTGTTTTGCTCACAGGGTATTACTGGATTATGGTAAGGGGTACTGGTCAGGCACTGAGTCGGGCCGTACATGCAACTGCTGGAAGAATCAGCACTTGACATTGGATATCCAGCAGGAGGCGAGGAAGAAGACGATGAAGAGTTTGTATAGTGATAACCTCCGCCAAGAATCAAGTGTCCAGAATAGGTGCCTACAGTTGTGGCGCTACCAAGTTTTCCTCCAGCAGCAAGAAAAAGGTGACCATCGTTATTATTGCTCTTATTATTAAATGGAGACATGTGTCGTGTAATTTTACGAGGGTTACATTCATGTGCAGGAATATCTTGGTTCCCCAAATTTAATTTGCGTTTAAGTGCCTGAAGACCAACTGAGCCGGTCTTTTTGTTTTCGCTGTTGTTGCTACTGTAACTGTTATTACTATTATTCGCGTTGCTATTACTATTGTTACTTACAATGTTTGCAGTATTTGATGTATTACCATTACCACTGTTGTTCGAATTCAAGGCTGAAGCTCCATTACCTGAATTACTAGGTGGGTCGACATGTTGATAACAGGCAACTGCTCCATCCATCATGGGAAGTGGAGGAGCGGGAGGTAAAGATGGTGGAGGATGCCCACTGCTAGCAGAAGGAACATTAACTACTGAACCAGTATAACACCGACTTCCTACTGGAGTCATTTTTGCATAGATATTCGGTGGTGCACCATAAGCGGATGGATGCGGCTGTTGTTGCTGATGGTGGTGGTGGTGATGTCTCTCTCTTTCCATACTTAGTGCATAAGCATGGGTTACTGGGTCATCATAGAATTGTTGCATATGTGACGTTAACAGCTCCTCTTGCTGCATCATTGGATAATATGCAGCTGAAGGGGGCAGCATATCCATTGGCGATAATTGGGCAGCGCATGGAGTCGGATAGCCATAAGCTGGACCCCGTAACTGACAAGCTTCGTCCTCACTGAATAATAATAATAATAATAATAATATTGTTGACAATAACAGTAAATTAATTTCTTTATAATTTTAAAGAATACCTATAATTGTACGAGAACAAAGGTTTCTAAATGAATGAAAATTCTCATGAAATGTGGTGAACCTAATTCAATGATAAAGTCCTTCATTTATGGATAATTTTTTCAAATTAGCTATGAAAATATATTTTTTTAAAAGTTAACTCAATTTTTATACAAGAAGCTTGTAAAACTAAATGTTTGAATTAAATGTTAAGTAGAAAAATATCGTTCGTTATTGAATTTAATTAAGATAATTTGTATTTACGTAAATAAAATCAGAACTGTCATGAATGACTTCATAACAAACATTGAACTCACCTGATCACTTGATTGACACACACAACCACCGGGTCATCACTGTTCGCAAGCGCTTGACGCACGTGCATGACAATGTTCACCCATATAAACTGACCACCATATACTAACATGCGTACAGTTAGCATACATCCCATCTCATGGCGAGATTTGATCACTGAAAATGCAAACAGTTTATAGATTAAACAAAAATGATAATGCTAATCATGATAGTGTGCCTCTACAGTCCACTGTCTATATGAGTATAACATAGGTTGTAACTGGTATAATCATCTTCGGGGAGATCTATTGTCTTTTGAAATCTTACAGTGAATAGTGTAAAGCTTATAATATGAGTGAATTTACTGGCGATTACGCCACTATATTCTTGAATGTTGTTAAAAATAACCAGAAAACTTAAACTTAAATATTTCCTTTTAAATTTTTGATTGATTTGTAAATTACACTAATATATAGTATGACAAAATTACATTTGTCCCAATTTTTAAAATTTCTCTGAGAATTGTTTTATTTATAATAAAGTGAATAATGTTTGACGATTAATGTGAGAACTATTTTCCCTTATCATTTCCCTTATTATTAAATTATTCCTGTAAAAATAAGTAGCATATTTGTTTTGCACACTCATAAAACGTTCGAAAATTTAAAGCTTACAAGTCCATAGCAGAAATGAAATGAGTTCAGTACTGTATCCTATAAAATTTTACTTACGCTGGATATGTTTTGTTTGACCTTCCCATATATCTTCTGGGTGCAAAATAGAATACCAAGATTTAGAAACCATTTCTTCGCTACTCACTCCCAAGTGAAATTCGCCACTGAAATGTACAATGAAAAGCAAAAGCTTATGAAAATTATCAATACACCGAATTAATAATTGTACGGTGTTAAAAAGTTAAATTTGTTCCTGATTAACCGTTTTGAATTCAATTGAATTAAAAAACAATTTGAATCGGAATTTTGTTTAGAATAGTTTTATACGTTAGAATTATTTCATTTAATGTTTGAACATGCGATACTGTCCGTAGTAGAAAGCACTTTGCCGTTGGGAAAACAGTTTCACAATGTTGAATTGGTATCAAATAAACTCAGTACTGCTTTTATAATTTAAATTAATTTTAAATTGATATTAACATTTCACTCGCAATTCTTAAGTCAACATGTGGATATGAATAATTAAATCTTTGGATAAAATTAGCATTTCCGTGCCGTAAACATGTTTTTTTGTGCATGTCAAAGTTATAGATTTTTTAATAGTTTTTAACAGGGAAATACAAACTTCTAAAACATTGGAACTTCAATTAATACAATTAGCTATTTTACAACAAGGTATTTGGTACAGTATAAGTCAAATTTCTTTATGACACATCGGAGTAGCTAACGTGGAACAATAGTTAACAGACCAGTCGAACAAGTCACCTTTTATGTGTCATGTCCTTTTAGGACGTGCCTATTTCCAACTTCTTAACTTTTGTTGCACGAAATAATTTTTGACACAATACCACCCCATTTGGCATCCATTCAAAGAAATTCGTTAAGTATATTACTTGCTGTTTCACCCACATTAAGTTCACTAGACTTTCTTTCCTCATTATATCTCCCAGAAATTTTAACTATTTCTTTTTGGTTGTAAGGATAAGTTCTCTTGTAGTTCTTATTATCTTTAAAGCATCCCCATTACTCACATGCTCTTTCCATGTAATTGTTAGCATTTTGTTGGTAACAAGTCATATGTATTGAATATCTTTTTGCCTTGTGCTCAACTACAGAAATATCTTTAATAACAAAACTCGTGTATCTCACAACATCAAGTGTCTTTAGATTTTAATTTAATGTTTAAGTAAATTTTTGAGTGTAAAAGCTTCATACCAGTGAAATGAAAAAAGACTAAGTTTGAAAGGTCATATATTTGGTATTAAAATAAAGTGTTAGTTTTCTTTGACTAGTTTAAATTGGTATAAATTAAAATCACTGAAAAAAATTAAGATTAAATTAATCACGTTTTTTAATCAAATGAACTAACAATATTAAATCGGGTAAAACATAAAAAAAGAAAATGTTTTCTTTCAAGATCGAACAGAATACATCTGGAATGTTCACATAATTTTGATGTTTCATTTTGTTATTTTTTTTTTAAAGCAAGCAGTCAGGGCAGTTTGTAGTGTTATCATTACTCACTCTAAGTACCATACGGTCATGTCTCTTTCGATTCGTGACTATTTCCTGCAGTAAGTTGCCGTTTCTTTCTGTGGTAGACTGATTACCAAACAAGGCAATAGGGTCCAGTCTTCCCTGTTATTCAATCCCTAGATGTGGTAATGGGTGAGTAGAAGAGATTGATTCATACTTTTCCCAAGTCTATTTACGCGTAAGTGAATGTAACGAAATCGATTGGAATTTGAACTGTTAATATTTTTATAAAATTTACAATTGTAAAATTTGTTTATTTCCAGATTTTTTTCAAGTTCGTTTATACATATTAAAGATATAAATTTCTTTTCTTTCAGATTGCGGTGAATGTTTCAAAATGCAACATATTAAGTGTTTCGGTGCTTTTCTAATTACTTAAACTGAAATGTGTGAAGCTGCCAAAATTACAAATCGGTTTACTTCAAAAATTAATTTTCTATTATTATTTAATCAAAAAGGCTACATTGACAATTAACAAAATATTCTAACGCAATCGAAATGCATTCATAAATTCAATTTTTTGCAAAGTCTTGTTTGAACAACTTTGTATGATTATTATATTGCGCCTCAAAACAAAATAAATAAATAAAATACACCAGAGAATTTTCAAATATTTCAAACATTCTGTTTGGTAATTCTTTCTGATACGAATCATAAATAAAATATTGAAACAAAATGCATTATTATGTATTCAATAAATAAAAGAATTATGATTTATATATATTAATATTAACAATTTATTAATTAGAATTTCCAGTTTTTTCTCTTTTATTATCATTGTGAGAATTATTAAGTGAATTTCATTATTTTATATTTACCTGTGAGAAATTTCTAAAAATGTCATATCCAGTCTATGAGCGGATTTAAAGATCATGGTATCACTGAGTAAGAGAGTGTCTTTACTGTCTATAGTGATAAGTGGATAACAAAATGAAGCGAACACAAGTTGCTCTCCTCCTCGCTCAGGATCTGGTACAGACACGAAATGGCCACGTACATGCATCGTCTGAAAATCAAACATATTTTGTTAATGTTTCCGCAAAAAAATTTCATAATTTTTTATGATTTTTTTAAATTTATGATATATATATATATATATATATATATATATATATATATATATATATATATCATTATACGTTTACACACACACACACACACACACACATATATATATATACACGTTTAACCAGTTTGTGACTGGAAGGGATAATTCCGAGTAGGATATAAATCCAGGCAGAGCTCAATGTAATGTAGACTATAGAGCATTATAATGTTAATAAGACGGAGACTTATTATTAACAATATATATATATATATATATATATATATATATATATATATATCAACGAACGAAATTATTCGTACACCCATCAATTTTAGATATTTTTATATATTTCTCAGAATCTAATACTCATATGATGCCAGATTTTATATGTTAATAAGCACAAAAAATGAATATAAAACTCAATTTTCAGAATAGGTTAACAGCCGAATTATGCAAAATAGGAAAAGGTAAAATTATTCGTACATGAATTCGTACATGTACATAGTACATTCGTACTATGAAAAATAGAAAAAATTGAACAATTTTCCCAATATTAATAGTCAATAGCATGGCCTCTCATATTTATAACTTGCTGCAATCGTTTTATAAATTTTTTGATGAGATTTGAACAAGTCTTTTCTTAGATTTTCTTCCATTCTTCAATGGTTGCACATTCTAATTCCTGAAAGTTTTTTTGGTGACCAGCGATTTATTCGAATTTTCAATTCTTGCCATAGACTTTCAATAGGATTCAAGTTAGGATTCGTTGAAGTTCATGACAGAACTGTAATGTTCTTTTTCTGAAGCCACGCAGTCATTGATTTAGACATATCATTATCTTGCTGGAAAGTAAATCGCCAGCTTAGATGAAGATTTTGCGCTGATAATTGTAGATTTTCATCCATAATTTTGATATAGTCTGCAGATTTCATTATTCCTATTATTGCAATTAATTGTCCAGTCCCTCTTGAGCTGAAACAACTGAAAACATCATTAAACCGCCTCCATGTTTTAATGTTATCACTGTGTTCTTTGGGAGGAAAGCCTCACTTTTCTTATGCCAAATCTTCTGTACATCATTATGTTCAAAATGGTCAATTTTTGTTTTATCACTCCATAGTACCCGCTCCCAAAAGCAATTTTCTTTGTCCAAGAACGTTTTGGCAAAATTAAACCGAGCAACAATGTGACATGGTTTGTGAAGAGGTGTTTGTTGTGGTCAGTTTCCATACAACCCATTTCTACTCAAACAATTTTGAATTTTGTATTGTGCGAGTACTTACGCTGATACCCATCATAGTCAGACTTTTTGGCAATGTCTGTCAAAACAACTCTTGGTCTTATCTTAGCCTCGCGACACAGTTTTCGTGCAGTTCTCGGTGTCAGTTTGGGTTTTCTTCCACGACCAGGCAAATTCTCTGTCGTGCCAAACTGTTTAAACTTCTTTATAATGGACTGTGCTGTAGATTTAGGGATAGCTAACCGGTTTAAAATAGAGATGTAACTATTTCCCGACTCGTGGAAGTTGATAATTCTCTGTCCCAAGTCAACGCTAAACTCCTTTGTCTTCCCCAACGTGTTGTTAACGTAAGAATAACAATGGTGACACTCTATGCACCGCGCGATTTTCTTTTCTGGAATTATCACAAATATTTTAATGAATAAATAGTCTAGAAGGCTTCACCGATAAAATAATTATGTAAATTACTTATATTTACACGAATCAATCAATTTAAAACGATATTTTCTACTGTACGAATAAGTTTGCCTTTTCCTATTTTGAATAATTCCCTGTCAATATTGTTCTGAAAATTGAGTTTTATATTCCTTTTTTGTGTCTATTAACATATAAAAAACCTGGCATCATATGGGTATTAGATACTGAGAAATGGATAAAAATATTCAAAATTGATGTGTGTCCGAATAATTTCGTCGTTGACTGTAGGTACCTCCAAAGAAAAACGATGCCTAACGTTTAAAATGCATATTTAAAAATGAAAAATCTTACTTGAAGCTTTTCATTTTAGTAATAATTTCAAGCTTAAATTTAATATTTCCAGTAAGCAAAATACTTTCAAATATTTCAAACTGGAAAAAAATTCAAACTGAATTTAAATTGATTGGATTGATTTTATTTTATCACTAAAAATGCTAAAATCGTCCATAATGATTAATTTAACTTTACTATAGTCCAGTCAGTCAGTTATGTGTCATACGTGATACACGCTTGGGTGATCATGTATCTTTCGATACATGACTGACGAGGCAGATTTTTTTCCGCAGTAGGTTGCCATTTCTTTCTGTGCTAGATTGGTTGCGAACCAAAGCTAAAGAACTCAGTCTGTAGCTGGGGGAGCGGGGGTGAAGAGATGGATTCATACCTTTCCCAAGGGTATTTCTGCGTAAGTAAATCCAACGAACTCGATTGTAATTCGAATTTGGCTCTCCGAGTTCTCACTCCACAATGCACATACTATAATTACCGGTTTTATTTTCTGATAATATCGCGTATTTACAAAAATCGACACATTTATACATGCATAAAATAAGTTCAAAATTATTTTTAAAATTTTGGGGATATCGTTGAATTGTAGTGAGTTTTTCCATTTATGATTAATAAATAATTTAATAATAATATCGCATGACCGCTACAAACTAATACAGAATTTTAAAAGTATTATAAGTTTATAAATTATTCTAATTAAAATTAAGAAAAAATGAAAACAATTATTATAAAAATTCATTATTCATCGATATTTTTCTTAATACTATAGTTTCCGTAATATATTTTATATATAAAAGCAATTAAAAGACTTTCTAATTAAATCATGTCTTAGTTTTATTACATTTCTATCTTACGATTCAGAGCAGATTTTCTGTAAAAAAAAAAAGATAAAATAAAAATCAGGATTTAACGCTTCCGGGGACTTATCCTTATAACTAGTATAAGCATTAACCGCTACAAAAAAAATAATTTCTCGAAATTTAATAAAATTAAATAAGTGGGGGTTTACAGATGTAAAAAAAGATTTTCTAAAATTTAAACGTTTCTAAATAATTTAATTCATTTGTGAATAAGTTCTGAAAATTTCATAAAATCTAACAATTATCAGATTTTTGAAAGAATTTCCAAATCAATGTATTTTGCACAACAAAAAGACGCTAAATTTTGCCATATTAATTTATGGTCACCCGTAGACACAATAAAAAACAAATTTTTTAACTAAAATTTCAAAGCATAAAAAATATAATTTAATGAAAAATATAATTTAATGAAAAAATCCATTGATCTTTCCTTGAAACAATGATCTTGGCGATAAAATTTTGATTTTATTAACTTTTTTTTAACTTTTGGCCGTTTTTCATCATATTTTTAGCGAATCTTTGGATATATATATATATATATATATATATATATATATATATATATCTTTATTATATGATATTACATTCGAACAATATGAGATGCTATGATGTACATCGAAACGTTAATTCATTGATGTAACGATACTACATATGTTCGAATGTAATATCATATAATAAAGAATTATCGCTCTATTTGTGTATAGAGCTCTATTTTTAAATTAATGTTATGAACATTTGAATTTATATTTGATTCGTTCTCGTTGCATCTGTGTGTGTGTGTATATATATATATATTCATAAAGATTTATACTGTTGTGTATCAAATACAAGTGCTGGCACAATTAAATTATTTCCTTCAATTCCCTTTCCCCAGCACGGTGGTGTTTATATCGCACACTTTTCATTCTTCAAATAATTTTCTTCACGATTGTTTTGTTCCAGTTTATTAAAATTATATAAAAATTTCCGGAGCAATTTAAAAAAAATATTTTAATTTTTTTTTTACTGATATGCTTATTCTAAAGTTGGAAAATTTCCATAGGTATGACTATTCCAAACGAGACTTGTATTTGGTTCAAAAGAGTACAATATCATTATTGCATTCTACATTGTGAAAGTTTAAAAAAATAATGTCTGATTAAAAATCAATTAATTACTTTAAAAATTATATTTAACCTTTATTCTAAAGTTCACGAGTTATATTTTAAAATTTGATATCGACAAATTCAAATTTAAAATCAACTTCAAAAGAATTTGCATATTTTTAATATGTTAATATAATCATTAATTTAAATTTCTTAATAATAATTTTTTTAATGTAAATTTGAAAAATAAATAACTTACATTTGTCTCTAATAAAATAGTTTGATTATTACTCTTACTGCCTATTAACACAACAATTTTTATTTGCCATTGTAACTGCAAAAAAAAAAAAAAAAATGAGCAAGAACTCACTTTAACATCTCCGAAACCAGATTGACGTTTTACACTTCTAGACATATTCATCCGACAAAAGAATGCAAGCGGTTGCCCGGGAGCTACATCTGTGCCACCTCTCATCAATTGTGCCTGGACTGTGATATGATCCCTTTTGTCTATTATGTCAAAAAGGCTGTCTCCTTGTGTTTTCATGTCCACCTGAAAGAAAAAGTAATATCTGACATAAATTACGTAATCAATATATACTAATACAGTTTCGTACCTAAATGTTTTTTTTTTCTTGTGGATTGTACATTACTTATACAGTTTGCATATGGTTTTTTGATTCTTCTTTTAACTTGAACAAACTCTAAGAGTATCAATAATGAAAACGCAAATTTGAGGGCACAACACTGTAGCCATGCAAATGCACACCTGTTACTGACAAAGAGGAACAATAATTTAATAAGCATTTAAAGTTGGTACTCACCATAGAGTGTCCTAAATATTCCGTGACATTCTCAGAAATGTATACCAACTTGCCATCTCTTGTAGTTATCAACAGGAATCCAGCCAACGCCTAAAATCGGCAAAAATTGGTGCTAGAGATTATCAAATCAAGCACAAGTGAATTTGTCAGTAAAAGTCTATTGACCCAACTTTTATTCATAATTGTTGAAAATAATTTTCCTGCATAAATAGCCTTCGTTTACCAAATCATTTAAATAAATTCAATTTTTTAACATTTTCCACAAATGAGTTATTTGAAGCAGTTAATATATTTTATTTAATTTCCCTGTGCGATTTAAAAATGATTTAAGTCCCAAGTATAACCATAGTCGCTTTTAATTTTAAACGCAAACGAAATAATATAAAATATCGTAGAAAGTGCTGCGAACTGTAACTGTGTGCTTCTATGCGTTCAGCGTTAAATCATAAATAAAAATTAGTTTCGTTGGTCGTTGAACAAAATTCCCATCTCAAAACTTATCTATGTGTCATATAATGCATATGCTTTGGTTCATCTTTATGATAACGTTAAATATGTACGTTACATAAAATGGCTACAGCACAACATTTTGGTTTAAGAAATACTTAGCCACACAGATTTGTACGAAACAATATTTACAATAATAAAACATATCTTATAAAACAATGAAGAATGTAGTTCGATAAGTTTTTGTTAATTTTATGTTTGTTTATAACTTTTACTAAAAAGTTGTTGTTGTTGTTGTTATTATTATTATTATTATTATTATTATTATCATCATCAAGCATTCTTTTCTATGATTAATGTATAAACATTCCGTTCACTACTTGCAAAAATATTTCAAAGCAATAAACACTATTTTCTCTTTCGAGTATAAAATTTATCCTTAAAAACGAGGATGCAAAATGAAATGTTAAAATGATTCAAATCATTTGACTTTTAGTCTGTTGACTAAAGCTATGCTAAAATAGTTCTATATGACGATTCTATCAACGTTAAAACAACTAATTTGCAGTGAGTGAATTACTTTATTATTATTGAATCTTCATTTGAAACTTGAAGAAACCGGAAACTCATCTAGAACGTTTCAAGTATTCGAATACACACAAATTGGATACACTTTGAAAATTATGAAAAAAATTGTTTGTAAATAATAGCATATATTAAAGAATATCGATGAAATACATTTTTAATTTAATTTCATTTTCTTGTGGTGAATTGAAACTGAAAAGGTGTTTCAGATTCATTCCCAATATTTTCATAAGACCATTTTCGATTATATATTATTTCACGAACCAGTATAGTCGTTTCTGTGAATAAATATATTGATCAATCTGGTTTAGTCATATAATATATAGTTAGATAATGACTTTGGGGATATTTGCTAATTCAATATGCACGTTCTTTTCTTCCAAGAACATAGATGTATCGTGATAAAAAAATGACAGATTAAACAATGAACGGAAGACTTGGCAGCATGACGAAAATAGAATTCTGATTTTTTCAAAATATTCTAGTTTTCCCGAATACACAAAATCAAAAAGAATTTTTTAGACTGATAAATTACAACAAACATCTAGAGAATCAACGTGAAAGATATTTAAATTCGTTCATTTTTATGAATGGGGTAAATTTTGAAACAAAAACTTCATGTTTAAGATAAAAAAAATGACAATTATAGACAGACAAACAATAAAGGAAAACAGTGTTATAAAAATCAGAAAGTGGCAAAAATAATTTCTTTGATACTGAATTGAAAACATTGCAGCATACAGACAAAAAGCAGAACGCCCAAAAGAAAAGTACAACATTGAAATTTGTAGTAACTTGCAAACTTTCACAGTCATAAATTTTTGCATTTAGTCTTCGGACTTTAGAAATGTGATTTGTTTACTTTTAAAAAAATATGGCAACTTTATACCTTTATTTCACATTTAAAATTTTTCAATATGGTCATTGATTTTTGAGTATTCAGATTTTAACATGTTTTAGTTGTTTGGTAAAAGAAATAGATTAATACAGGATAGAACCGGTTTTAATCTCAGAAAGTAAGTTCTTTTATCTTTTATAAGATAAAACATTATAACAACGTGTGATAAAGCGTGTTCATAATGATACATGAGTTGTACATATGAGCATACATTTTAATCGTGTGTGTGTGTGTATGCGTGTGCATATACAAACTTCCAGTAAAAATTAATGTATGACAGCATATAAACGTTACATTCTTATCCATATTCATCAACACATCATTTAACTTGGTCTCTCAGAACATGCATTTATGAACCTATTTGTAGGTGTCCATGTGAAATGGAGGGTCACTTTTTCTAAGAACAAACGATAAACTATATATAACTTCTAACAACAGTTTATTGTATTTTTAAGTATCCATTATACTTGATCAGAATCTTTTTCTTAGCAAAATCATTCTTATATTATTTTTATATTATTTTATCCTTAATTAATTTCTGAAATCGCGAATTATAATTATTTAGGTATTGTGTTCAAAACTGCATTTTGGGACGGTTTCATGTAAAATACACCCAGTTAAACAGTTTAGAAATGTATATAAGTAGATATATTTATGCTACTGGTAATGTTTTGATCATAATTTTTGTAGACTAAATTGTCCAGTACATGTCATAACATAATAGCCCGAGTAACGCTTCAGTGCAACTTTGTCGACTTGCTTATACATCATTTGGCTGATCTCGGAAATATCATATCAATGAGATTTATTCACCAAACTTGTCACATTTCCGATGTATTTCCAGTAAGAGATATATAGTAAAAACATAAAGGAATACTATTTTTCATAAACAATTATAACATTGAATAAGAGAAAAGTAGTTAAGCAGGATTGTAGAAAACATTCAGTTCTTTTCATATAACTACATTTGATATTACAACTATTCACATCAAATACTATTTTTTAAATCCGATATTCTACTGATTTCTTTTTATTCCAAGTATTTCCTATACATTTGCTATTTTTAATGTGCCCTACTGATATATTTGCTTTGTTTTCATATATTTACCTAATAAATATAAGTATGAATTTCACATACTTGATTGATGGCTGCAATTACTATTCATAACAAACACTCACAGATAATGTGTACATTAGTATGCGTCTGTAACACATACTGGTGTACAGACTATTCGTATCTCTCTTATATTGCTACAGCATTCATAATTGTTGACAGATTATTATCTCATGGAGGTGATATATTTACTCAAAAGCAATATTTGATTGCTCTGCTTGTGTTAAACTAAAATTCCATTTATGTTACAACCTGCATAACGCGTGTTGTTGGATAATACGAAAAAAATTTTCGCATATTTTTTAAATAAAATATGAAAACAATTTTCTTACTTGGAAAAATCAAAGGGATTATCTGTTGGGACGTTAGTTGTTCCAAACCCTGCAAAGGAAAAAAAAAAAAAAGCGAAATAAGGAATAAAAGAAATTATATATAAAATTATATATATATATATATATATATATATATATATATATATATATATATATATATATATATATATATATATAGTTATCAAAACGTTTTAAAATCAACATTGGCAAATAGAACAACATGCGACCAAATATAATTTAAAGAAACCGCGAGACCTTCCCTTAAAATTCCTTCCGGTATATGAAATTTTACAGAAAAAGATTATATATATATATATATATATATATATATATATATATAAACTATCAAACACACACACGAAAAAAAAAAAAAAAAAAAAGAAAAAAAGTATATGTTTATTTGTATCTAATTGTTTGACAATTTAACGTTATACACTTATTCCATTATCTTTTTAAAAGGAAACTAGAAATGTTAATACAGTTCTTACTGTATGATATGTTATTTTATGCATTTTCCAAATAAAAACGAAATTAGTAAAAAATGTTTTACTACAAATAATCAAACAGTATTTATTTTTAAATTAGTTTATTGTATTTATGATCACTAAATTTAAAAACAAATAAAGCAATGTAATATTGTTGAGTAAGCTGTTTAAAAATGTTGTTCAATATGCCAAAATTGCTCAATCATGCCACCGGTTTTCTTGATAACATTAAAAATTATTATTATCCACTGGTTTACTTGGACTGGTGTCCTTATCGTGATTGTTATTGTGAAAACGTTTCGGTCGTTATACTCTTCGGTCTTTAAGTTCCCATCGTTTCCCTGCTGGAAATTTCAAACCCAATATTTCATTCAGTCTTCCCATATCAATTAATTCTTCCTTTTGTCTCCTCCACTGAATAAGAGTCTATGACTTACACTACTTGACACATGTACTGAACTCACGATCGTCAGTTAACATGAACCACTTAACCAAGTTTCTCAACCGGTGCGCCTGGGCGAACTAATGCATCTGAAAGGTAGTTAGATGTTAACAGAAGAGTAATTTATGAATTATTTTTATATTTAAAAAATCATTATTTTAAAAAAGTTAGAGACCCCAAGCACATGTAATGTCTTAAAAATAAGAAACTATTGTTTCGCAGCATTTTTTTTTTTTTAGCAAATATACTAGACTGTACATCCTGTATGACAAAGCAATGCTGGAAATTAAAAAAAAAAACATGCATGAAAGATAGTTCTGTTATGATTCCTATTGTTTCCCTCAATGATTTAAAAACCTTCCGTCCGTCAAAGTGTGATCAACGGTTTCAAGTAACTTATAATCTTTCTATTGCATGTTTAATTTACTTTATTGATATTACTTTCTCTCTCACACCTACACAGAGTTTGTATACATACAGACATTAACGCATATACACACATGTGCGTATGTGCGTATACACACGCCTGTATTTGTTCATTTTTCAGTTCAAAATTTTCAATAATTTATATACATTTTAAATTTTTCTTAACAGGCTTACAAACACATTATGAGTGCATAGATGTGCATTCATCGTTTAAAATTATCTTTGATCATACTTTATCGCTTCATCTCTGTTAACATAATTTCTCTATATTCATTAGTTAAGGAATCTATATCTCTTTGTTATTTAAATTGTTTGTCAGTAGAAAAAATGAGTTTACTCACATCTGGTCATTATATTACACTTTCTTATATAAACACAGGACAGTGACATTATTTGGAGCTGGGATAAACGTTGTCTGGCCGTTTCGGCGAGAGGTAACAAATCACGCATCATATTGATTTGTGCATTGATCTGATCTCGCCTCTGTTTTGATGCACCCTTTGTTGACCTGCAATGAATATAAAGTAGCAATGAGAAATTATTTTCGGGTAAATGTTGATAAAATATGTTGATATAAATGGAAGGCAAAAAGAAAAATCAAAAAACTCTAGATGCATAAAGTTCAATGTATACTGTCCTTTAAAATCATTATGCAAATATTATCTAAATTGTTTTCTCACAATAAGGTGACTAGCTCAAAAAGTTTGAAAAAAAATGGTTATCTTAGGTTGAAAAGCATTCTAATTGTAATGCAATAATTTACTATGAATTGTGGTTGAATTTATTTTTGATTTTATAAATGCTACATTCATAAAAAAGAAAATAATTCAATCAAAAGGGAAATCCTCGAGAGTGCCACCATTGAATATTATCCAAATATTAATTTACGCCAAGGTTTTTCCAAATATCACCTTTCCTAACAGAATCACTGCTCTCCCAAGCCAACGTACACAACAAATAAATTAAAAAAGAAATTAAAAGAAAACTGTTGAATCCGTCAACACAACAATAATACAAGCAATATTCTCTTCAAACAGAAATAATTGACGTAATTCTTCAGTTGACCATATGAATAAATAATAACATTTCTAAATTGTTCTAGTTGCTAACGACATTTTCTTTGTTGTTTATAAATACTTTGTTTCAATAAATTTATTTCATTTTTTGACTTGAAAAAGTTCACCTTGGACGAAACGCGTTGGCTAAAATACTGTTTTCCTGTTGTCTTTTTTTCCTTTATACATATTGTCTTTTCTTATAGGTTAATTCTGATATATATATATATATATATATATATATATATATATATATATATATATATATATATATATATATATATATATATATATATATAAAAAAATGGATTATGTCCGACAATTATTTTAATATATTTTCTTTTTTACGTTATACAATTATTTAAGTAAATGCTCTGTTTATAATAAACGTGTAGGATACAGGTTCGATTCAGGCCGGTAAATGTAATTAATACTGTTTATTATAAACAGAGCATTTACTAATTAATTGTATCTATAAAATAACGTGTAAACAGAATACACACATGTATATATATATATATATATATATATATATATATATATATATATATATATATATATATATATATATATATATATAATTAGAATAAGGATAAGTTCGAATAGAGTCTGCCGAAGTTTGCACATTGGAAAAAAAAAGTACTCAGTGTCATAAAAAATGGCAGAGATTCAATATATTTTAAGTCAAATTTCAAGTGACCAGTGATCGTCCACGACTGCCAGTTTCATACGCTTTCATGCAATCATCATATGGGTGTGAATATATAAACTCATCTACTTAAAATTTGTCTTTATATATATATATATATATATATATATATATATATATATATATATATATATATATATACACACACACACACACACACACACACACACATATATATATATATATATATATATATATATATACAAAACATATCTACATCTCTATTTCTCTATTTCCATATCCCTAACTTTTTATCTTTGTATCTCTCCCATAATATATCTACACAATTTTATGAATGTTTAAAAAGATTAAAAAAAATGAATAAATCAAGTTGAAGTGAAACACGTAAATCTGTATTTTTTTTTGTTATTTCTTGCGTGCATCACAAAAAATAACAGAGAAATACAATTTTAGTAGAATTCTGTAAAATATATAATTAACAATTTAGATTCTTACATATATAAATAGTTTAGATTCGTATATCCAGAAATAATGACAAAAAGAGAAACCAATTAATAGCAAAATTCGTTTGTTCAGGAATCTGGAATAATTTTTATTTTATTTTACCATTCTAAAGGAAACACACACGTGTATGTGCTTGTATGTGTGCGCACATATGTGTATGTGCATGTATGTGCGCATGTGTGCGCGTGTGTGTGTATGTGTATGTGTGTACGGGCGTGAGATCTTGCCGGTGCGGTGATAATTTCATTGTTTTGATCTTCATTCTCCCAATTTATGTATTCCATCAATTATACTTGGCAATTGAATGAAAGCAGCCGTTGGTGGTACGCAGCGTTCAGAATAAGCAAGTCTGCTTCGGGCATGAAGAACGCACCGCTGGGGCAGAATTTCCTAAAGGCATGAGTACATCATTTCGTGACTCGCTGCTTGCAACAGAGATGAAGGAAAATTATACCTTTTTTTGCCTTTTTCCTTTCTCTATACTGTGTTTCTGTAGATAAGTTGAAATGGAGGTAGGTTGATAAGGAGACTGGTATGGAGATTTTCTTATATGCATTTGATAGGTAAACAAACAGACATAATTCCATATATGCACGCAAGCATTTGCAAGCTTTATGAATATTCTCTCGAATATTTGGTCTTATTAAATTATGTTGATATATACTTCAGCATACATTCAGATATTGTCAGCAGTAAGTCCAGTGACTTAAACAAAACTTATAATATTTTCTATGAATTTGTGCATATGCAGAAGACAAAAAAAATTCAAATTTAGTGCATTTTCTTCGGCATAAAAAAATATAAATTTTAAAGTCTGTAAAGATATAAACTATAAAGTCGAACAATAAAATATCACCAGAAAATTATATTATCCTGGTAAAAAAATTATTTCTCAGGAAATAATTTGTTACCAGGATAATATAATTTTCTAGTGATATTTTATATATTTTTATATTTAATAGATATAATTCAATAATAACAATAATAATAATAATAATAATAATAATAATAATAATAACAACAACACACACACACACACACACACACATATATATATATATATATATATATATATATATATATATATATATATATATATATATATATATATATATAAAATATATATATCCGGTAGAACTGTTTTAAACCGCTCGGCTCGATCCACTTCTTAAAATCTGACCAGATGACTAAGCATCAGATATTTTGGGTGGGGGTCTTGGTTGGGTTGAGAACTTATCAGCGAAATCTTTTCATGTAAGTATATGCATACCTGATCATGATCTCAGAGATAGAGTTAATTTTATATATACAACACAACAATTACTTAATTATTTAATAAAAGAGCAACAGAATGGCTTTTATATATTTTGTGAAGTTACAATAATTCTCTGTATATATTATTGTCAAGTTGAATAAAGTTTCTTATAACTTTATTCTACAAAGGGAAAAATTAGTCTTGAAACAGATTTCTTCAAACCTATTCGACTATTTTGACTTAATTCATTAGTGTTTCGTATTTTTGTTCAAGGAAAAGGACAGTTTCAGATATTACAGTATCTTTGTTCAAGGAAAATTCCCAAATTATGGTGGACTATTAGAAATTATTCTCCAGTTGAACACTATGTGCCTGTACGAAACGGTAAAATATTACTTATATAATGAAATAAAAATTATACGTAAAAGAATTCTTCATTAATTTTTCATTTATTATGCTGAATTCCCTCAAGCTGTTTGAAATAGAAACAAGGACACACATACACACACACACAAACACACACCCATCTACCTACTTACCTACCTATATATATATATATATATATATATATATATATATATATATATATATATATATATATATAAACAACATTTCTATATTGCAGGAGATTGAAATTCTTCTCATACGTTTTATTTTTTATAAAAATCAAATGATCTTTCAGAATATGTGTGATTACTACCTTCATTAATAACTTCTCTATGACATAAGATAACATGCTGAATAATTACTAAGTTAAGAAATGTTTGGTCAAAATAAGTTGTTTTTGACTCATATCTGTTGGGAAAATATTTGTGCACGAATAGTTTGAAGAGCATATGTGACGAAGATATTCCAGAATTAGGAATCTGGATAGTTACGTGATATTAGAATAATAAACTTCACTAGTTTATTGTTATGATGAGTGACCAAATGCAAAATGCATGTAAGAAAAACTTTAGGCGATTGGTATTCATGGGCATTTAAATATAAAAAAAATTAAAAAAAAACATAGAGGGAGAAGGAGAGACAGATTACAGACGGCTCAATTTTCATAGTTGATCCTGCATTTTGAATATTTTGTACTTACAGAATATAATTGCGCTTATCTATTTGAAGATCTCTTATGACTATACAAAAATGTCACTTTAAGCAGATTTTGAACATAAATATTTATATTAATATTATTCTGAATATCGCTAGCACAATGAAATAAAATGCTGCATCGATAAAATAATAAAGTGCATAAATTATTCTAATTTGTAATAGATTTATTTTCACTTTATAATTGTTAATTTTGACTCTTTCATTGACTTTTATATACACTGAGTTATATGTTTGCATACAAAACAGCCTTTTTATTAACGAGTATATATATACGACATCTATCTATCTATCTATCTATCTATCTATCTATCTACAACCAAGTGTTCTAAGAAATAGGACTCAAAATAATCCTTTTCAGAAGAGAAACTATGATCTGAAATTGAAATGAAGCAGTGGTGGGGCATACTCTGAATCCATCATAAAAATTAAGGATATCTATCTATCTATCTATCTATCTATCTATCTATCTATCTATCTATCTATCTATCTATCTATCTACAAAAGTATTTTTCAAAATACACGATTAGTTTGCTAAATTGTTAAAATGATTAGTTTTATCATGTTACTTGTAAGAAAAGTTAATTTTAAATATGTACGAACAACAATTGACAATATGAAGTTAACATATTTGTATAATCAAATTTCCATAAAATAACCTCACTTTGCAATAAACAAATTATACTCTTGATGCTGATCTTACAATTTACGAACATCGTAATAATCGTAAGATCAGCATTGAGCTTTCAAATTTAACACCTGATCTCGAAAAAGACATGCACTTTGAAATACGCACAAAAGCAACTGTACATACCCTCGCATGAACAACTATGAGTTGAGAAAATGCTGCTCAGAATGCGTTACC